TTATATATATTTTAAACTTATAAATAAGTTGAAATACTCACCCTAACACTGCTTCAATTGAGCGGGAAAACGTGGTTGCTGACGATCAAGTTGAATTATCTATATCGACAGTTACAATGAATGCAACCTGCAGTATTAGCTTTCCTAGAGACATCTATTGATTGAAAGATCATGATACAGTAGAATGACCAGGATATATAGGCAACATAACTTACACTAAACAGATAAACGTAATGACTCCAAATGGAATCACTGGGAATGAAAGGGTTAAATACACTAAAACAGTTCAAACCACCTTCAAAATAAGTACCTCAAATACTTCACAGAATTTGAAAATACATATTAAATTTTCAAATATTGTCCTATTTTTTATGTACTTTCAATGTGATTTTATTGTGCAATTTCACAGCGGATTTGATGATTTTTTTTTTGCAGTTGGTTCGACTTATCTTTGACATATTTTGTATAAGTTTCTGTGTTTTTCGATGGAGCTTTACAGAAAATATTAAAAGAAACATTTTCATAATGAAAAATTATTTGTGCAAAATAATACATTTTACCAACCTTGAGAAAAATCTAAAATCAAGTAAAGTATCAAAGTAGACATGGTCATTAAATAGTCATTAATCAATTGTCAGCATTTTTAATGTTTGATTAAAGACTAACAATTAAAACTTATTATTGTATGACACGCATAATAACGCAAAAACAAAAGTGTAATGTATGTTATGAATAAAATATGTAATGTATGTAATAAATGAAAGGTTGCTATTTTTCTTCATCGATTTTAATTAAACTTATGGGATATTTGATGATAAGTTTAATTATGACAATAATTTCTTAATTTAAGTTATGTTTAATTTTGTGAATAATTTGTTAATTTAGGTAAGTTATTTTTGAATATCGCTTATCATTTCTGTACAAATATTCCTATACAAATACCCATTCATGTACAATTAAAGTGTCCGTCTGTATGGAAGCAGAATAATTATTAGTTTTAATTGTTTTAACAATTAATTAATCCAAATAAATTAATTACAACGCGCAATTAATAGTTCAATTGCAATTAATTTTTAACTACAATTAATTTAATCGAAATTACTTTTTTTAATCAATTAATTGATTGATTGAAAATTTAATCGAATAATACCCAACACCGTTCAGAATAAGCTCCGGTGCTGGTCTTGTAAAAAATATTTTTACTATCTCAAATCCGATATTTCACATATTTTGTTTCTCTTATTGCCGACCTTTCGAATATTTTTATTAAAATTGAAAAACAGCTCCACACATATTTACTATTTACTACAAAGAGCGACAAAAAATGGCACGCAGTATTTATATCCTACAGCTTGACCCTTGACCTCTTGTATCCTGTTTAGAGAGTTATAGATTGATTTCCCCAGGCAAACACGATGTGTGTCCTCTACGGTATCGTATATACGGAACTCCGGTACACCTGATTCGAATCTGAATCGTAACTCCGGGTCATAAAGGATCAGCGGAGGGGTAACAACCCCGATTACTTACCCTCCTGCAATAGTAAAAACCGGAAACCGGACGAACAGTAAAATGTATACGTGCATGCTTTATTACAACTAAACTACCCTCTTTCTCATGACTCAAGATCTTCAAGATCCAAAAATGGACTTTATGGTTTTGGTATGACGTAGTGTTGGTAAATATTATAAAAGGTGTACAGGGTGAGTTTTAAATATGTTGATATTTATTTTAGATACGAAATTATTAATATTTACGGAGAAATTATTATTTTGAAACCCTTTGAATTGTGTGACAGCTAATCAAATTATTTAGTTTATAAAACAGAGGCATGGCAAGTCAAAATTGAATTACACAGTAATGATAACCCTAATTTTAACCTCATAATAAAGAAAATCAAATCCTAAAATACGTAATTTCCACATTTATATGTAATATAAATCGTGTTTAAATCGTCAATTCAAATGTGTAGATGTGTAAATGTGTAAAATAATTTGAGACTAACTAACAATAAGACTAACTTAGCTAAGGCGAAGTGAAGTAAAAAAGACTCTAAAAAGAATACATTTATAGATTCATAGTTTCAGATTAGTAAGCATTTTAAAAAGCTAGCTTAGTTGGGTATTGGGGTAAGGAGGGGTTCGTTCTAAAATTCTTAGATATTCTCAGTTTTAAGCAAACTTATTAATGTAAAAAGAACAAATACTTTTGTAAGATAAAATATCTTAGTTAGTCTCAGTTAAAATTGGTTAAAAGAATACAGCTATTTATTGCCATGAAGAATTTCAATCAATATTTTTACTAGATCGATTTTCGACCTTATGCATGCACTAGTGCTTCTTTGTCATGACCTTAAATATCGCGATATTCTGGCAATATTAGAAATATTTAAGAAGTTTCAAACCCCAAGTGACAAAGCAACAGAATTATAGAATTTATATATTTAAATTTATAGAACAATACTGACTTTTATAGTAATTATAATTAATAAATTAAAATTATATCAATGTTACTGGGCATGCGTATTAAAGATTATTTCATGTAAGCCAAGTAGCCTCGCAACAAGATATCATTCAAGACAAGTTTGGTTATGGTTAAGAGTACGTCTATAATAAACCACTTGAAGAAAAAAACACTCGATAAACACACTGAGACAGTACAACACCAAGAAAAACAATAAAAATACTTAGTAGAGTTAGAAAATGCCAAGATTAAACAAACCAAGAGAAAATACGTCAATGATGACAGTGATAACATATTAACAAGATCTCACCTGCGTATAAGGCTATTTTTTCCGAGCATGAGCATTAGGAATAACACGGCTAAAGTAAAATTTTTACTTTATTTAAATATTCTTTTATATCCTTTTTTGTTAAGTTTTAAGCACATTGCAGTCGTTCATTTTTATAGTATCTTAAATTTTGTATGAAGTATATAATCTTTTGCATTGGGTTCAATTAGGTTGTAAGATTGACGTATATCTATGTCGATTTGTTGTTTCCTCATGGTGTTTTTCATTTAAGTTTATTTAACATTTTTAGTGAACTTTCACGAATAGTGTATTTTCTAGATAGGAAATATTCCGTAAGTTATAGCAAAAAAAACAAAACCATCTTGTGTGGTGTAAATTTATTACAAATATTAAGGAATTATGGTTAATTGGTTAATTGGACATGGAATATACAGTGTGTCCAATTTCAAATTTAAACAACCTTTCTAAAAAAGGTATTTATTGACAGATTTAATATTCGGGTTTCTTTTGGAAGCTAGAGCTTATAAATGCTATTAACATAAAATGTGAATTCATTTTCATGTTATAAATGCTATTAACATAAAATGTGAATTCATTTTCAAAGCTTACTTTTTATTTCTTTTTTCAGTGTCCAATCTGCCAAAAACTGGTTAGCGCAATTTTTATCTAAAATCTGACTGCGCTATTGGATTCTGCACCTCGTAATTTGCAGAAAAAATAGGAGGAAAAAAATGATATTCAAAATAAATATTGACTGACTTTTTAAAAGAAAACTTGTTGAGAATCGCTGATTTTCTTCTGGTCAGCGGTTCCCATAAAGTTTTATTTAACAAAATCGGGCATATCTATTTCGAATTTCATTCTTTATTCTTATTTTTTCCGCGAAGAATACAGTATTCTACACAGTAACTTATACAACTGCTTAAAATATATGCTCGCGTTTATGGCTTAGCCTGTATATTTCCTCCGTTATAATTATTGTCTTTTTTTTTAAGTTTGGTCTTGTGGCAGCAAAAATGTTGCCCCCTCCTAGATCCCACCCCGAGCACCCCGTTAGGCAGAAAAGTTTTAAAATTATTTCCTGCGCTATAAACTTCATTAACATTACCCTTACGTATTCCGCCGCAAATTAAAATATATTAAAAAAGTTCCTGCGGGTTTAATCACGAATCATAAATTTCGTCTGGTATCGATCACGGGTAAAAACTTTTCTCGATTCGTATCACGCCCTAGTTGGGAAATTTATAGCTACGTGTGCTTTTGTTAGATGTGCTCCAAATAACCCTTATATAAACTTCCCCACAGGTTAGATTACTAACTTGATAAGGCTGGATGAGATGGAATATCGATGTAAATGTCTAATTCTGGTAGCCAGTATTGGATAATATAGATTCTTTGTTCTCGTAGAACAGCATCTTTTAGATGCCTGTTAAAAATGATAACCCGAAAACAACCAGGAACACAGATATTCAGAGCCTTCAGAAATGATTACAAACCACGTGATCGCTGAACTTAGTCAACCAACATTGCACGATTGGTACTGTCAATTAAAAATTACTAAATCTTAGAGTCACCAGTATTATGATTCGTTTACGATGAGCAATGACAAATTGTTACGTCTACGCTCGAGATAATCGATCGATCGATAGATTAGATGGTTGGACCCAACAAGGACTAGACCATCTCCAATATCAATTTTAATAAATGGTGGAGAATTATATCAAGAACAGAGAGATCGTAATATTTTATATGAGCTACAGAATAAAACAAAGCTTTTGGCATGGGACTGAGAAAATTACTACGCCACTGTAGGTAGTATCGTTTAAAAATTATTCCATTCTTGTAGGTAAAATCTGTAATTCTAAATTTATATTTTAAGTTATGTTGCTGCAATTGTCCCTTTGTCAGTGAACAATATTTCTACGTTGTGAATTATCTTTGATTTGATCAATACAAATGGCGATAATTAAATATACTTTTCCTATTGCCTAAATATTTTGTATTGTACCTTCGAGAGCATGTCAACCTGATAGTAAAGTTCCAATACAAAGCGCTAAATATGAAATGTATTTAATTTATTAATAGTACTGGTTCCGCCATCTTTCGGCTGACGTAACTATTAAGAGTACTGTCGTGAAGAGTTCTATTCCATAAATCACTAACATGTGGTACCAGGGTTCCGAGAATTGCGTTTGGTGTCTAAAAAAATTACTCTTGTAAACATTCTTTTCAAGTCAGCGAAACATTTCTAAATGTAGTGCAAATATACTGTTTTTGTGCTCATTTAGTTGAAGAATATAATCTTTACTGTCAGTAACAAATGAAGAATATTTAAGGAGATAATAATAAAGCAGGTAAGTGAATAATATTAGCATAACTTCAATCTAACCTCTATTGCCGTTCATCAAGTGGTTGTTACTTTCCCGCCAATTCTGAGTACAGTGATCAGGACCGTATTTACAAGTTTTTTAAACGATAATTCAAAACAATTTTAAAAATGGTCAGGATTTTTTAAGCTTAATTGTAATAACTTTTACAAACTGTTAAAATAATTAAAGTAGAAATTATAAAAAATTTAATAATTTATTAGAAGATATAAAACATTTTTTAAATTGCAGATTTCGAGCAATTATTTTTGATTTTAAACAAAAGAATTTCGTTTAAAATAGTAACAGTAAAACAGTAACATATTTAAAGTATGAAAAAGTAAATTTAACTAACTTTAACTTAATTATTTATAATCTTTTGCTTTTTGTTGAAAAACATATATACAGGGTGTCCTAGAAAGTACACCAAATACATAAACGATTTAAAGTTACATACAAAAATCAAAGAATATTAAAACGTTTTCTTTTTTTAATATCCTCAAATTGTGTTACTTTTTACTTTTTATTTGGTACATACTTTGGATGGTTAGAGTGTATATTTCTTGAATATGTAAGAAAATAACATACGAATAATTTTCTCGACCCATTGGCCACTTCATAGCATTTATGTTCGAGACATACGATTTAATTTACATTTTTGTTTGGACTTTTATAGATGTTTTTTATATCTTTTATCTTTTATAAATTTCGAGTGAAATAAGGTACACAAGGTATTTAAGAATACTCTTCTTATATTTAGAAGAACAATTAAACACATAAGAATCAGCAAAAATTTTTTATAAGCATGCTTTCTAAAAATTTTAAGGTGGTATTACGGACATATAATATTTTTTTTGGGAACAACATAGACAGCCGTAAGTGGTAACTTTTTTCTAATTTCAATGCATAGAACTGAATATAAAAATATAATTTGTGAACCCCTTTTATATCCAGTACGTTCAATGCTGAATATATATCGAATTTTATAGGATGTCCAAAATTCACAAAAGTCAAAAAATTTTTGATAACTAATTTTATATTAGAAAGCGTAATTAAATAGCGAAGGGCGTTCGTTTAAGAAAATTATCAGGAGCCCAAAAAATAGCACCCTTGTGTTTTAGTTTAATATAGGTAATAGTTTTAAGCTAATTCAAATATATTCAAAAAAATTTCCTAAAATTCCTAACACCAGAAATCTAGATATATAAAAGATATATCTATCTCTAAGCTTATAGATAATATGAATTCTTAATTGATGAAATTGCAAAAAACTACTCCATTTGTTATAATTGTGTCTTGATTAACAGTGAATTATACCAACAATATGTAGTAAATAGTAAATAGTTGCAAATATCTACACAAAATTTTGGGGTTTGGGGTTCTTTTGATAGAGGAATTGGAATTTGTTCACAGTTTGGTTGTAGTTCATAGAGGGCGCCAGTTGCCGTAGATTGAAGGTGTTGGAAACGACATAACTTTTTTGTACTTTAAGGTATCTCATATTTGGTATCAAATTCTTATTTTCCAATTTTTTTAAACAAAAAAGGTAGACTTTATGAAAGTAGCTGTCTCGCACCGTTTCCGAGATATTTGGCAAAAACAAGGGTTTATTTAGAATTAAAAATTGTAATGAACAGTAAAATAGTGAACATTAGTAAAAAAATATGTCTCTTTGACAATAATTGCACAAAATGTCCACCTCTAACTTCAGTACATTTATCAACACGTTTATTAAAGATTGTCTTATTTTACAGTATAAATCCTTAATGCGAAATGACTTTGCAGCATTTAAAACCTGCTACTAAAGTTCTTCTCAAGTGTTTATAGTTTCTCCATAAACAACTGATTTCACGTATCTCCAAAAACGAAAACCTTGGCATTCTATCTCACATTTATGTATACGAGTATACANTTTGTCCTGTAAATGGAATGTTTTCTGTTGGGCAATAAATGCATTATTATTATTATTATTATTATTATTATTAGAATTGTTTTTGTTTTGTACAACTATAATTAATGCCAAAATTCACCTAGATATTTAGCATGTCATCGCTTTATAGGTACATCAGTTTTCCCCAAATTCTAAGGAACCCCACACACACATGTATACATAACGTTAAATTAGATCCACTGTTTCATTTTACGACAGACCGAGGTAGGTAATTGTAATACATAGCACGAAAATGCATATTCTGTGCCAATGAAACCACTTCACCACACGTTCTGCTCAACCACAAGTTGTATCTTGAATGTTTACACTGAAACCTAAGGGTTAATTTAATGAAGGAAATCCTAGAACGCTCGTGTCGAAATAGAAGAGGTAGATGCTGGTGCCTGCGTTAGACACACAACGCTAAGACTCCAACCAAAGGGATCACTTTGTTAGGCAAAATTCCAGTTACAGAATTATATTATGTTTCCAACCCAACATAATTAATTACGAATAATTAAATAAGAGAAATATTGTACAACTTGTAAATCTCTATTATGCAGGATGTCATTAAAAGTGAGTTCGTTTTATTGGACTTTTTGCATCTCTAAATTGAATAATTGTTGAAAAAATGTCCAAAAAACCCTTTTTATATTTACATTTAAAGGAACTACATACTACTTACTTGCTTATCATTAGATGTTGAAGTTATGTGAGACGTGCCAGAGGTGTTTGAAAATTAAATTCAATGTTGTGTCAGTGATTAGACAAACCATGTTAGAACGTACCTACCTAATTATATTCAGTTGGAGGTAGTTATTGCATAGTAGCACATATGTATCACAATAACAAACTTGATGTGATGTTCATTTATGGTGAATGTCTGCAAAATGCAGCGGAGACATCGCGTCCTTGTGCAGAACGTCCGATGATATTCCATCTCGCAAAGTGACTTTTTCAGCTATTGTATTTTTCGTTTGAATATTTTATTTGCCAGTAAATAAACATACATTACAAGAAAAATCCAATATGACTTGGAAATAGAAGAATCTGATTTCTATCAGGGTGTAGGATTGAAATAAACTTTCTCAGAGGTTTTGGCCTTCAAAGGGGGCCAAATTGGTAAATTTAAATGAGGAAATTGATTTCCTTTCGGTACAGTATTATTCATCTGAGATATAAAACTTCATGAACTCAGTGACCGCAGGACAAATTTGAGGAAACGAATAAAAACCGAAATACATCAAAACAGTCTTGGAATATCTGATAATTATTTCAGAATGCGTAACCAAATAGCTTAAAAATACATAAATATCCTCGAATCAGATTTTCAAACATTCAAAGGCGTCAGAACAGCTATAAAATGTCACAGTATGTAGAAACGGCTTAAAATAACATTAAAAGCTATTTAGAGGGCTCTATAGCAAATAGGCAACCAGCAATACATTTTTATAGATTTTTATTACACAGTTTATTTAAATATGAATTAATGCATAAATAACAGACTTTCCTCCATTCTATCGCAGATTTTCTATAAAATGGAGTTAGTTTGAAATTCAAATTACTTTTTGTTTTAAAGAAATTTGTAATTTGATGCTTGTTCAAAAGAGGCATCCTAAAGAATACAGCTATAAAAATGTATTGCTGGTTGCCTATTTGCTATAGAACCCTCTTAAAACGCTTTGAATTACACCAAAATACGTCATAGTTATTTCAGGTTGCATCAAAATTATTTAGAGACGCTGTTAACCCTTTCTTTCCCAAATTTAATTTTCGGGAATTTAAAATTATGATTCCTATAAAAAACTCTGTAAAATGTGTTCGAAAGTCAAGCAAAAATTAATAAAAAAAGATTATTTAACATTTAGCAAAAAAATTTAATGATGCCATATGGAGTCAGTGGGAACGTAATGATTAATAAGGTAATTGTATTCTTCCTATAATATTTTATTATTACATTTCAAATGATATCATGAAAAACAAATAATATAATTATCCCACACAGCACAATGACATTCGTAGGATGTACTGAGGATAACTTCTCAGGATGTATAGGATATCCTCGAATAGGTACACGATCACCTCAGGATGTACCAGGGATATCCAAATGGAACGTCCCGGGATTTGCTCGTAACGTCCTGAGGACATCCGCCTGGCTATCTGCAGGAGATTATCAGGTTATCAGTGATCAAATGAGGACGTCCTAGGATTTACTGTGTATGTCCTCAAGACATCAGCCGGGCTATTATCAGGTTATCAGTGGATCAAATGAGGACAACGTAGGCTTTACTGTTGATGTCCTCAGGACATTAGCTGGGCTATATACAGCACATTTTTAGTACTTATTGGGCTAATAAAAAAAATTACAGGGTGGTATTAAATATTTCTATAGATCAAATACGTACCTAATTTCCAAAACATTTGCTTGCCATTTCCACTCCATCTA